GGTAATTAGTGTCTGAGCCAGTACGTCATCGATCAGTCAAGTGCTACGCTCGCGTCAAGACTGGGCATAGGTCCAAGGACAGGGCGTGACAACTTTGGCTGACTTGATCTGATTGGGCAGGAATACAGTCACAACCCACGGGTGGATCCTCCATCTCCGTGCTGAGAAAAGGCGTTCAGGTAAGACAACGCCCCTTTTCCACTGAGACCAGTACATTAAAAGCTCTGTCATTGTTGAAAGCACTGAGGAAGAAGAAAGAAATATCTCTGGAAGGATAAGCCATGGGCCATAAACTGTCTAGTATATAAAATTGTGGAAGGGCTGCATATGGTGTTTCGTTTTCTTCAGTGAAAGACGGATGCAATATTTCAAATGCACATGGCTTATTTGTATACATTTCAAATAATTTATGGTCTATTGTGTAACAGTTAAAAACTGTTACTAAATTATTACAGTATCTCATTTAATTCTTCTGTTCCATTTTGCAGGTCACAGATATGGATAACTCATCCAACAAAGATGAAGAAGAAAACTCCATGCATAATACTGTTGTCCTGTTCTCTAGCAGTGACAAATTTACTTTACATCAGGTTGCCATACTTAGAATACTTTGTTACTTTCTGTGGAAATCTGTCTGTCTGTCTGTCTGTCTGTCTGTCTGTCTGTCTGTCTGTCTATCTACTGTGTTTCTCCGAAAGTAAACCTACTCCCAAAAGTAAGCCCCAGCTGATTTTTGGGGGGGTGGGCCTAATAAAAGCCCTCCCCCCAAAAGTAAGCGCTACTTAAGGGCCTGCGTGTACGGCCTTCCTGTGATGAGGCAAAGTCAATGGGGGGGAAGGATCCTTACCGCCATCCGGCTTGTTCCATGGCCTCATGGCAGCGGCATTGGACAGGAGGCAGCAAATGGCATTTTTGGTGCTACATGGCCATTTGCCGCTGGCTGCAGCCATTTGCCACCGTGCACGTCACACCCAATGCTGTGCCATGAGGCCTGGTGGATCCTCTCGTGTTCTAAGCCACGGGCCATTATACTGGTTCCCTATCACCGCCCGGCTTGTTCCGCGTCCTCATGGCCATGCCATTAGCAAGAGCATCGCAATTCAGCTGAAAGCAGCACAGAACAAGTGGGGCAGGTTCCCCCCTCACCTGCCCATTGTCAGAGAAGAGAACTTCGCAGGTCTGCTTACAGAGCCACCAAAGCGGTAGGTGAAGCGCCGGAGGCTTGGGGAGGGAGAGTGAGTAGGCCATTGGCGAAAGCAACACGGCTCGGCCAAAAGCGGTCTCGGAACAAGTGGGGCAGGTAAGAAAAGAAACCCTTGCTCCCCCCAAGAATTGCCTTTCTTTGCTTACCTGACTCCCAGCCCCGTGCCATTTCTCCTTCATGATCTGCCGCTGTGTGCAGGGAAACAAAGGAAGTTTTTTTTGGGGGAAAGATCAATCAATTCCAACTTCTCGTAAAAAAAAAAAAAGATCTTGCGAAGTTGGAATTGATTGATTTGACCTTTGTTTTCCCCCAAAAAACTTCCTTTGTTTCCCTGTATATTAAAAAAGAAAATTAGATTGAAAGGGGTTTTAGTGTCTTAATGTTATTTTCTTAAGTGGCTTGGGTCTAAAATCAGCTTCCTTCACAAAAATGTGAAAATTTTACAGTATTACTATTGAGTATGTAATAATGTATATATAGATTATGCTAATAAGTGAACACTGTACATCTGAATTTCTGTAAGGACATAAGAAACATTTTAAAAAGGATAGATATAGGTGTATAGCCATCAGATGCTCTTGGGGGTGGGTGAAGTTGGTATGCTTAATGCTGCCTCCTGTGTGAAGATAACTATTTTATATTCCAGGATATGTGTGTAGTTTGTGGAAGTTTTGGACAAGGTGCAGAAGGCCAATTACTTGCCTGTTCACAGTGTGGTCAGTGTTATCATCCATTCTGTGTAGGTATTAAGGTGAGTGTTTTGAAATACCCATGCTTGTCTATCTATTTATTCTTAAAAGCTCTGTGTGGGAGAACATTCCCTTTTATAGAATCCTACCGTACCTGATTGAAGTCATTTCACTGTGATTTAGAACTGAGCCCTTTTTGTAGCTTCTCCAGGTCTCTGGAAAGCACACCTTAGCTGAACTGAGAAATGCTTTTTTTCCCCCCAGAAACATCATTCCCCGATAAGCTTGTTTTAATAATTAGCCAGATAAATTCATTTTTAATTTTTAGATTTTAATTTGATTAATTTATTTATTTAATGAATTTATATAGCTACCCAACTTACACATAGGTAACTCCAGGCAGCTTACAGTACTTAAAAAATACACTATATAATAAAAACCCTAAAAAAATCAACCACTCATCACCCATAGTAGCCACAATCAAATCTACTACTTAATCAGATCATGCTGATTAAACATGCTGACAAAACCATGTTTTTAATGGCCTTTTGAAAAAGCAACGGGAGGGGGGGGCAAATCTATCTTGGGGGCATGATATTCCATAAAGAAGGGGTCACCACTGAGAAGACCATTTTTTGTGGTTCCACCAGATGTTCACTCCTAAGCGATGGGATTCATAACATATCCTGCCTTCCTGTCCTATTGGCTCAGGTGGATGAAATAGGGTAGAGGCTTATCTGTATTGTAAGCCACTGAGAGAATTTAATAGTAGCCAGCAATAAAAATATCCGTATCCTTATCATCTATATCTGACATTTAAGATTTTTTAAATCTTTTAAACAATCCTTTGTAAATATGTCTATAATTTATTTGCAATTTGCAAAATACTTTAGTGACTTTGTATACATCCTATAAAAGTGATTTTGCAGCTATAAATTCTAATAATTACCTTGCTACAATGTTATACATTAACTATAATGTACATAATTGCCCTTTGCTGGGATTAACAGTAAGTGGTATATTTATTTAGTGTTTTACATTTATGAGACTAAATCTGGATTGTTAAAGATTTATGCAGAAATAATATATTATTTGCTATTGTATAAGCTATAAGCTGTTCTTTTCAAATGTATTATTTTCACAGTAACAATTTTTCCATATAAACAAGCATTTAATTTAAAATCTGCATAGATTTTGTGAAAAGAATTTGCCTTTTTAAAAGAATATAAATTTGAAACACTTTGTAAAGGAATGCCAGTAAAAGATATTCTAATTGGTTTTGGAAATCAAAATCCCAAATAACTAACAGAAAAGCCCAAATAACTAACATGAATGGCTCATGTTAAAATGATTTAAACACATTTCAACAAATGTAATGACAAATATTTTAAAACAAAATTTTTTAACCTACGGTAAATAATTTGGCTAAGCATGAAAGCTTTCAACATTTAAAATGTCCTTGATTGTCAGGTTAGGAAGTGATTAAAGCACTTTAAAATTTTGCAATTTTATATAACACAAGGTATTCCTGTTCCTGAATATAGGCAATTTATTAAGCATGGAAACCTTTTGTCTCCAGTATTTCTCAATCTTGGTTACTTAAAGATGTGTAAACTTCCAATTCCCAGAATTCCCAACTAGCATATCACTGTGAACATCCAATTGCCTCAGGAAAATAATGTAACCAGTGGAACAACCTGCCTCCAGAAGCGGTGAATGCTCCAACACTGGAAGTTTTTAAGAAGAGACTGGACAGCCATTTGTCCGAAATGGTATAGGGTTTCCTGCCTGAGCAGGGGGTTGGACTAGATGACCTTCAAGGTCCCTTCCAACTTTACTATTATTATTATTATTATTATTATTATTATTATTATTATTATTATTATTATTATTATTATTATTATTATTATTATTATGTTGATGGTTGCTAGGATGTCATCATCCAATGAATGGTGATAAAAGTAAATGCATTCCCTTTCTCCATTTGAACAAGTTTTAAGCTTTTTTTAAAAAAATCTGTCTATTTGGAAAACTATGACACATTTGACATCCCTGGAACTGTCAAATTGAAGTTTTATTAATTTTAATTGTATGCTGCCTTTTCCTATACAGATTACAAAAGTGGTACTCCACAAGGGTTGGCGATGTCTGGAGTGCACTGTTTGTGAAGCCTGCGGAAAGGCTACGGATCCAGGAAGGCTACTTCTTTGTGATGACTGTGATATCAGCTACCACACTTACTGCCTGGATCCACCACTACAGACAGTTCCCAAAGGAGGTTGGAAGTGCAGATGGTGTGTTTCTCTATTTTTTTTTAATTCTGCATATTGTATTCATGAAGGGTTTTTGCCTGAAATTTAAACATGCATTTTAGTGAACTATTGGGGATGCCTAATAGCAGTACATAAAGTTTGATCATATTTTAATTAAAGTTCAAATAATACCACTGGGACAATCATACATGCCCTCCAGTAATTGAGAATCCCAAGCAGAATAACGTAGGAGCTTAAATTGGGAATTAATTTGCAAATGCTTTGGAATTAGGGAACTTAAAGACTAGGATGATGTATCCTGCCTTTTAACATATATATTTGGGCCATTGGAACTGGGGTGACTTAGAATATCATGGTAGCCATGACAACCAGGCACACTTGCAGCCGCATAGTACATTAATAAAAGAGTATATTTGTAGCTCAGTGTTCAACTGTAGAGTCTTTGGTAATCTTTGAGCTTGGTTATTTTCTTGGAGACTTTTCATTACTCGGTTAGGGAACATCTTCACTGAAGATGCACTAAAGATGTTACCTAATTAGGTAATGAAACATCTGCAAGAAAATCAGAGAACACCAAGGACTCTTTATAGAACATCATATTCTAAAATTAATTTAAATAGAATCTCTTTAGTTGGTGACATTTTGCATAATTTTAACTATTAAATGAAAGGATTAATGTTTTGTTCATTGGATAGTATGGAAATGTAAGCAAATGCAAACTAAATGTTATTCATGTGTTTGTGTTTTGAAGGTGTGTGTGGTGCAGACACTGTGGAGCTACTTCTCCCGGTTTAAGATGTGAATGGCAAAATAATTACACACAGTGTGCTCCTTGTGCAAGTTTATCTACCTGCCCAGTCTGCTGTTGCAGTTACAGAGAAGAAGAGCTTATTGTGCAGTGCAGGCAGTGTGACAGGTTAAAATTTCTTTTACATTGGGAACAATTTTTTTTTTACTTGCTTGGTCATACTGTGTTCCCTTATATTTGTGGGATGAATTTTGATTTTTTTTAAAATCAAAATGATTCTTAATATTGGTTTTTGTTACCTAATCTATAAAAATAATTCAGTGTTTATCAAAGTGTTTTCTTTCTCAGTCACATTATGGGGGTTATAGCAATGACAGGAGCATATTCTATAAATTCTTGGGTAGCCTGAAGATATTTTGAATAATATTGTTTAAGAAACCATTAATTATTGATTGATTCTTCACAGCCACATAAATAGATTTGTTCATGATGTGTCATTAACCTAGTCCTTCAGGTCTTCCAATGGTGCAGTATGTATGGAATAAACAGCAATCCCTTGAACAAAGAAATCAACTAATTTAAAATATTTCCATAACTCAGGAAGTAATTGATAAAATTAGCAAGACCCCCTTAGATTCATCTTTTTTATGTGCAACATTTCTTCATAATCTTCTTAACTTATCAATGTAGACAAGAAATGGAACTAAATGACCTCATTCCAATCCCAGGGACCTCAATCTCTTGTTATCAAAGCAATCATGGATGTCAATACATCTACTAAATCTCAAAAATTGAGCTCTACTGAATTGGCTCCTTCAGATTAAGTTTCAGAAAAGCTTCCTGATATAAATCATCCACCATTGGATCCTGAACTAAAGAAGTTTGTCTTATCGAAACAGTTTGGTTGAAATACATTTTGAAACATATTTGAGAATGCTGGAATTTTATAGCAATCCCCAGCTCAACTAACTGGCCCAAAAGGAATTTTAATAACTAATTTTAATAAGCATCTCCCGGGTTTTTCTCTTCAGGGACAATATTTGTATTGCACGATAAAATTGCATGCATTTCAATCAACTCCTTTGCCATCTATACTTTAACTTTCAGATGGATGCACACTGTCTGTCAAAATTTAAACACGGAGGAAGAAGTGGAAAACACAGCAGATAATGGTTTTGACTGCACCATGTGTAGACCATATATACCATCAGCAAATGGTAAATTCACCTGCTGTTTATCTAATGATACTCAAAGGTCTGGAGACTAAAACATATGAAGAATGGCTGCAGGACTTGGGTTTGGCTAGTCTAAAGAAAAGAAGAAATAGGGGAGACATGATAGCAGTGTTCCAGTATTTGAGGGGCTGCCACAAAGAAGAGGGGGTCACGTTATTCTCCAAAGCATCAGAGGGCAGGACAAGAAACAATGGTTGGAAACTGATCAAAGAGAGGAGCAACCTGGAATTAAGAAGAAACTTCCTGACAGTGAGGATAGTTAACCAGTGGAATAGCTTGCCCCCAGAAATCGTGGGTGCTCCATCACTGGAGATTTTTTTAAAAGAGGCTAGACAGTCACTTGTCTGAGATGGTATAGGTTCTCCTGCTTGAGCAGGGGGCTGGACTAGAAGGCCTCCAAGGTCCCTTCCAGATCTATTCTAATAAAGGTACAATAAAATTTGTTGTAAAGCTTCTCTCGACAGATGTTGAGTTAACAAAAGAGACTGTTTTCTTTTGTCTAGATATTTTCTTAATGCTGTATGATCAGTAATAGAAAATGACATTAAAAATCTGCTGTTCCTTTAGATTGTCAGTTATCTTAAAATATATTATTAGAAAAGGGATTAGGTGAAAATTGTAATAAAATGTTAATAAAAATAAAGTAAAAAATAAATTGTTTGGAGTAACAGACATGTGAAAACTATAGATTAATAAGGATTTCAGTATTAAAATAATGCTATTGACAACTGCATAACCTGCTTAATTAAATGACAATGTTCACTGTTTATTTTTTCTTTTTCTAGTGCCTTCCTTTGAATTCTGTGAATCATCTATTGCAGCCCAAATTCCATCAAAAGCAAAGGAACTTGGTAACCATTAAAATTCTTCATTCTCTCCATCTAACTTTGTTTCTACTAATAATACACTGTTGAAGCTAGAATTATGCCTTAAAATTATATAATCAATATAATTGATTATAATAGTTGGTTTTTGTTAGCTATTCCCTTGTTCATTTTTAAACCCAGCTGATACCTTTCATGAATAAATGTTCAAGTCCTCCTTAATGGAAGTTAAATTGCTTAAGTGAGCAAAAGATTTTACCCAAATAGATGAAGGCAGACCTTTCTCTGCTTGCCCTTTTAGATATGTTCTTTGAAAGGCAGATGCATAATTTGACAAAAATTGGAGTGATTTATTCAGTCTTTATCTTTCCCCAATCTATTTATGGTGGAACTTATTATTCTCTGTGTATCTGTGTAATTTCATTTATATGTGTTGAGTTGAATAATGTATGGAATAGACTCTTCATAAAATATTATAATTATAATGTTGGTTTTCCTTTGAAATAATTGTGCTGTCTTCTCTCTTAATATTAGAACAAATAGGCTTCCATGGTATATTAATTGCAATATTTTTAAATATTGTGATTATAAACAAAATTATTAAAAGTGTAAATTCCTGTTGTGGTTCATGCCAATTTTATAGACCCACCGAAGACGTACACTCAGGATGGTGTCTGTTTGACCGAAACAGGGATGTCTCAGTTACAGAGCCTCAGTGCTGTTGTACCAAGAAGAAAAAGGGCAAAGCCAAAGCTTAAGTTGAAAATTATAAACCAGAATAGTGTTGCTGTACTTCAAACACCACCTGATGTCCAGTCAGAACATTCAAGAGATGGTGAGATGGATGACAGTAGAGGTAATTATTATATGCTCTCTTCCATTTTATTAAACTATTTGTTAGAGGGTCTCATGATGCACTGTGGAAGAGGGAGGAATTCATAGAATTAATCCAAAGCACAAAGCAGAAGGAATGTCTAACAGGAACAATAGCTGGCTTTAAAATTGTATTAGTTGACCTGGGAAAAGTTCAAGATTTGTTGAAGCGTCCAAAAATCAGGGTGGTAAATGAACAAATGCCCAAGAGAGGAAAGGTGTCAACACTGCTAATATAGGATGTTCTTGCTTTGACAACAGATGGAAATGCAGCCATTTATCTCTATTGCTTCTAGAGTTAGTTGATGCTGGGAGGGGGAATGTGGATGAGAGTCCAGCTAGTCATAACAATAATAACTCAGTTGTGGGAATCCAAGGTCATTGAGCACAGAGTTGATAGAGTTTTGGCAGGCTAGAGAGCTGGGGAGAAATCCCGGGCTTCAAGCTAATTGGGGAATGTGATTTATGACTGTTTATTGGAGGAGGGAATTGTACTTTGTTACTTTGTATCCAGGGGAGGGGAATTCAGTTTTTGGTTTCGACTATGTAGTGCCGATACTTTGTTTCTTGAATAAAAGATTCTTTAAGGTAAACAATGCCTTGAAGTTCTTTTGAAGAGTTTCATCTGTCGGAACCATGACCAAAGGAAGGGAAAGACTATCTACTTAGACTATATACTTGATCAAAATGGTGCTTATGTTGGCAGTGGATCTGAGAAGTAGTGAGTGTCACTGTACAATTTTTATTTTGCTGAATATAGGAAATCCTTGGATTTCCACCCCTCATTCAACAACCATTCCAAATTGCAACAGCCCTAAACTTGGAATACTTAGGATGGGTCCTTGGAATTCTGGCTGTCGCAGTGTCCCTACTTGATGATTGTGATTTGGGTGCCCGGCTTACCATTATGACATCACAAAAGCCATAGTCACATAACTGCAATTTCTGATATTCCTAATTGGTTTCCCAGAAGCAGGGGTTTTAGTTAACTGATGAGTTTTTTATGTGGGCAGTTAAGTAAAAGTGTATAAATAACTCCAATCTTTTTCTCCCTCACTTTTTAACTTGTTTTAATTCAGAAGGAGACCTTATGGATTGTGAAGGAAAATCAGATACAAGTCCTGAACGAGAACCTATAGATGATGATCCTAAGGGAATGGAAGCAACTGAAGGGATCAAAAAAAGAAAGAGAAAGCCATATAGACCTGGTAGAGTACATAATCCAGATAGGTTTATATGTATTGACTATATATTTATACATAATATTTTATTTAGAAATGAGATTAGTTAAGTATTGTTGAGAATTACCCTATCTGGTGTATACTGCAGTTTCAAACAGTGGTTTTCATTTTCAAATATAGGTAGTCCTTGACTTACAACCATTCGTTTAGCGACAATTCAAAGTTACAACAGCACTGAAAAAGGATTTATGATCAATTGTGGCAACATCCCCATAGTCATAGGATCAAATTTCAAGCCCTTGGCAACAGGCACCATGGTCATGGGATCACCATTTGTTACCTATCCAGTTGGCTTCTGACAAGAAAAGTCAATGGGAGAAGCCAGATTCAGTTAACAACTGTGGCAAGAAAGGTCATAAAATGAGGTGCAACTCACTTGACAATTGCCTGGCTTAGTATGGAAAATTTGGGTTCAGTTGTGACCGTAAGTCAAGGACTATTTATACTGCCTCTATATCAAGATATATATACCAAAGTTACCAAACAACAGAATAACTTTTTATGAATTATTATTATTAAATAGATACATCTTGATAGCTTCCATGTAAAAGAGGTATAAACTTAGCACAGTTTGGTGATCGCAAATTTTGATGTTTAACAGAGAACATCAAAGAGATGTTCAAGAGAAGAGTGAGTGTTTTTTCAGCTAATATTTGTATTAATATACAGATCATTGTTGGATTAATATGAGCAACTGGTGGATTTCTTATGCATTATATTGAATTCTTATAGATGGGAGCTATATCATCAGGCAGAAATTATAGATACTCAGTTTTTGTTGATTCCCTATTAACTTGATCTAGGAAAGAATTGTCTTTATAGGAAGGCAGGCTGTGTAGAAAAGGGCCAGCACCTGTGCTGTTGTTGTCCTGCTTCTTTAAGCCTCTCCCCAGCCAGCACAGCAATGTAGACCAGAGGTAGTCAACCTTGGCTCTTTTATGACTCATGGACTTCAACTCCCAGAATTCCTGAGCCAGCTAAGCCGGCTCAGGAATTCTGGGAATTGAAGTCCATGAGTCATAAAAGAGCCAAGGTTGACTACCCCTGATGTAGACTATAAAAGTTGTGCTGAGAGACAGCTGGTGTGGTGATGCTGGTGAGAGGGAAGGAGGTGTGTGTTTGTGTGTGGAAATAAAGCAACTACAAAAATTAAATATATTTTAATATCTAGAATTGCCTTTAGTGGCTTATTATTATATTTGAATGACATGTATTATGTAGAAATGGCTATTTACAGAATGTCTGCATTCCAGGATGTTCCTCTTTATTTAAATAATTATAATATAATTTAAGTAACATAGTCACCTGTGTGGAATGGCTATCTAAATTTGCTTAATAAATACTGTGAACATACTTTTTATAGGCATCGGTGGATTCATGGTACGCCAGCGGAGTCGTACAGGACAAGGAAAAATGAAAAGATCTCTCTCTAGAAAAGATTCTTCTGGTTCTGTATCTGAACAAATACCCAACAGAGATGAAAGTAGGCATCTAGCAATTTATTCTCATACTTCTGTGTTACTGCCATGTCCTGTAACACAAGATCATTATATTTTAATTAGTCAGTTACTTTTTTTTTAACCCCAGTTTTTCCCCCCAAAAGCTTAATTCATTGTCATTCCTGAAGATACTACATGACTGCATCCTTGTATAAATTCATGTATTATAGTTTGAGACAATTTTCCAGTTTAAATTAAATTCTGTCAGATTTACTCTGAACATAAAAGCATAGTTCTACAACTTTGTTAGCCATTCTTACTAGAAACAACCTTTCTGGTAAAAAGCATCCTTGTGGCAGTTCATTTATGCAAAGCTAATATATTATGAACAGATGCATAATTTAGTAAACAGATGATAAATGGAAAAACAAGTAATTTTGACTCTCAGTGACTGCCTGGATAGGTTCCTACAGTTTTCTTGGCAAGATTTTTCAGAAGTGTTTTGCCACTGCCTCCTTCCTAAGACTGAAAGAAAGTGACTGGCCCAAGGCCACTCAGCTGGCTTTGCAACTAAAGCAAGATCAGAATTTGTGATCTAGCCTGATTCCTTAACCATTACACCAGTGGCTGAAATTCTAAAGAGAGCTAATGGTAAAGGAAGATCATCATAAAATAATACCTTTAAAATATACCTAAAATATTTTAGCATTGTATGTTAGTATAAAAGGTCTGCACTTTTTGAACTGTCAGTCTGAAAACTAGTTCTTTCCAAGAGGATTGCGGATGACATTAAAGACACTTCCTTTAGATCAGGGGTAGGCCACCTTGGCTCTTTTATGACTCGTGGACTTCAACTCCCAGAATTCCTGAGCCAGCATGGCTCCTCTTGGAAACTCTCCCTTTCCCCTCAGCACGGCTGGCTCAGGAATTCTGGGAGTTGAAGTCCACAGGTCATAAAAGAGCCAAGGTTGACTACCCGTGCTTTAGAATATGGTGCCAAGTTTTTAGAGTCTTGCATACCAGTGCCACATATTACCTTTACATCAATTTTATCAGATTTTCAATTTCAACTAATGCTATTTTTAAATCAGGAAAAGAATTAATCAGTAACCCTCCTCCTGTACTTCAGCTAGTCTAGTCTAAATAGGATTGTAACATTGTACATGTTTGATATTTCTAGTTTGGGGTGAACAACTGCCTGATACACTTGTTGATGAAGCTATGTCTGTTTCTGAAAATATGGAAAAAATGAAAAAACGTTATAAGAAAAAGAAAAATAAGCTTGAAGAAATTTTCCCAGCATATTTGCAGGTACTCTCACAGCATGCAAAATATTTTCCCTAAGAGCATTATTTGCATATAGTAGATAATCTATTTATAATTTAAGAAATTGCTTTATAATTTGTAATCAATTAACACTAGTGTTAATTTCCTAGGTCTGTGAATGATATTATTTTATTGTATTTCTGAAAAGTAAAATATTTATTTTAATAGAAAACATAATACATTATGTTTTAAATCCATTAATATAGACATATTAATATATCAATAGTTGATTATAGTCTAATTAGCTGAAAGAATGTCCTGTTTCTAGAATGAACACACTTTTGTACATGTTACTGAATTAGCCAAGAAGCAGTAAGGTTATTTAAATTTTCCTTATATAGTATTTAAAGAAGCTAAATTAATTGCTTGAATTTTATGATAAATGAATGGAGGGAACATCATAGACTGAGGAGCCTGTCTGATAAATACCTTTCTGGAGAGTAGGTGTTGCCCCCCTAAACAGAGCAGAAAAGGATAGAGAAACAAGTCACATAAAATTGAATATTTTGAATGCTTTTAAATCAGAAGTGAACAACACCAGCAATTTTACATATAGAATCATAATTCGGTTAAATATGAGTATGTTTTATGACAAGAGCAGCTACATTTATTAACTATGATCTTAACCAATAAGTATTTGAATCTGTTTCGGTTCAGATTCATATTCAAATATAGGAATCCTGTGGTTTATAAAGTCATTTTAATTAAATGCTTGCTTTCATTGTTTGTCGTTTGTTTTAATTCTAGGAAGCTTTCTTTGGAAGAGAACTTTTAGACACTAGTAGGCAGAAAAAGCCAAGTTTGGATAATTTATGCAGTGAAAGCCTCAGCATTTCCTGCAAAGCAAGTTTGAACACCAATTTCTTAGATCCATCCTCAGATCCACTTCTGAGTTCAGCTTCCACTTCCACTCCCTCAAAATCTGGTGCGCAAGGTACATAAATCTGAAGATATTTTGGCACAGGGTGGCCCTGGGCACAGAGCAGAAGAGGCCTTGCTAAAAGAGCCTTTTAGTAAAAAGGAACACCTGTTTTAATGTTGCAGTTACTCTTTAACTGATCTGCTACCCTGGGTAACTGAAATGTTTTATTTACTAAGTTTTGAATGTTCCATTCCTGGTGCCATCTTTATTATGTTTGCGTCTGAGCTGTCTATTTTCTAAAGGTACTCTGGATGACCCATTAGCTGCTCTCGTGCTGAGCACTGAGGATGACATCCTTGGAATTCTTTCAGATGATTTAGTGAAACCTGGGGATCATTCAGGTATGATTGGAAAAATTGTTCTTTGTGATGTTCATGATTAGTGGCTACTTATACTTGAAAACCAGAGATGCTTTTTCACGAGGCAACTGGACTTTCTTGTTTTTCTTTCTCTTCTCATCCAAGAAGCTTCTTCAGCACTTGAAACATTCACTTAGGGCTCTTTTTGATTCACATCATGGTGTCTGAGAAGCCAAAAAGCAAATCATTTTGCTTCTGAACTTTCGTATTTCTGCCTTGTGAGCCCCTCAACATGTATGAGTAGTCCTGGGCTTAGGGCCACAATTGGGACCAGAATTTCCATTGCTATGTAAGGTGGTTGTTAAGCACGTTGTGCCCGATTTTACAATCTTTTATGCTACAGGTGTTAAGTAAATCACATTGTCATTAAGCAAATTCAGCTCCCCCCAGTGACTTTGCTTGTTAGAAGCTTGCTGAGAAGGTTGCAAATGGTGATCATCTGACCTCAGGATGCTGCAACTGTTCTAAATAACATGCCGATTGTCAAGCCTCCAGATTTTAATCATGTGACCATAGAGCTGCTGCAACAGTTGTAAATGCCACTTTAGAAGCCACTTTTTTCAGTGCCATTATAACTTCAAACATTCACTAAACAAAGGGCTGTAAGTTCAGGACTACCTATACATGTATTTACAGGGCTTTTTTTGGTCATAGAACGCCCAGAACAGAGTTCCGGCACCTTTTTTGGATGGAACCTTATAGAGTAGGCAAGGCAGGTTGTATGACATGTGTGAGTTCCTGCACTTTTTTTTTTTTTTTTTTTTTACAAAAAAAGCACTTGTGTATTTGTATATACGCATAATTTTTAAACATGCTTCTATTAGTCAAAACTATTATCTCTTGCTTTGCTTAATACATCTATCCTTTGTTTTTGTTATTGTCCTTTATTACTCTGGGGATAACTTTCAGTGTTTCTCATATCCATGAACTATTTCAGCATGCAGCTATATACTTTTGATTTGTTCTTGCTTGCTTGCTTCATTTTATTTATTTTTTTTGTTATAATCATCCATTTTATCTGGTTTGGATCCTGTAGGTCTTGATTTATGCACTTTCCAGGTTGAGAACTCCTCTTCCCCTTTTGGTAAGGAAATATTTAGTGGATGATCAGTGTTTAGAAGTAGTTCTGTTTCCTAATGGTTTCAGCTATATTTTTTTATGCATGCATGGTGTAATAACTCTTCTGTTGCCTCACTTTCTTTCATTTTTCACTACCTTTGTGCAGTCTTCACAGTGTAAAATGCCTGTCTTTGTAGTGCACTTAGAAGAACTTGATTTTTTTATTTAAAGAATGTTGTGAATAACTACAGAATTGTCTATGTGTGCATTTCACAATATCAAGTAACACATTTCTCTTGAACTTAAAAGTATTTCCTGTTTCTGTTCAGAGTAGTGGACTTTTTATTTACTTCAATGAATATAAAAAACATGGGGGGAGGGAAATTCCATGTTTTAATTTGGCTTTGGAATGTTATTGCAAATATAAGTAAGAATATCATATATAACACCTAAGGTTCATATTTAGAAAAGAGTGACTTTTGAAAAAAATTTAAATGTATTATAAGAGCTCTAAAATTCTACAGTACTTTCATTTCTGGTAAGTGTTCTGCTTTTAAACATAAAAAGTCAGTCCTTTGAGATAGGCCAGCTCAGGAAAACATGTACTGCACAAAGTACAAAAACACTTCATTATTACAGGTTATATTGGAATTTTGAAAGTCTCTGTCCCTCTGTTCCCTGTTATATAAGGACAATCATGTCAGGGTTATCTTGAGTTTCTTTCTCATCCCCCTTTCCTTCCCAGAGCTCAAGAGTTAAGGGGATATAAATAGTTCTTGACTTACAACCATAATGGAACCTACCCACTGGGCTTGCAAGTTGTTATGGTTGTACAGCGGGTCATCATGTGACTGACCCAATTTCACATCCTTTTTTTATGTGGTGGTGGTGGTGGTTAAGTTAATCAGAATGATCGTGAAGTGAATCCATGGTTGCTAAGTGAATGTCTCAGTCATTAAATGAACACCAGAGTTGTTAAGTAAACTCTTTGTTTGCTATGTGTCATTTTTGCTGAAAACCAGAAATAAATGCTGGTATTCAGCAAAAATGTTGTAAATCACAGTCATATGACTGCAGAGTGGCGCAAACAGCCATAAATGCAGGATGGTTGCTGAACATCCAAAACACGTTCATGTGGCCATAGGTGGTGGCAATTGTCAGAACTTTGGAATTGGGTCGTGAATATCTGAAAGTTGTCTGAAGTTATCTGCAGATTGAATCATCACAACTGGACTAATTTTTTTGTTGTTAGTTTGAGAGACATTTCACTGTCCGTCCAGTAGCTTCTTCAGTCAGAGTAAGGCTAACTGCAGAGAGTAAGGCAGAGAGTCGTTGGAATGTGCCATCTCCTGCCACACCAACCTCAGGGGTTTCCTCTCTAAAGTGTATTGCAAAATGTTGATGAAGATTCTCAATCATCCAGGTAGAGTTGTCTGAAGGTTGTTTGAAGTTTCTGAATCATTACAACTGGACTGATTTTTTGTTGTTAGTTTGAGAGAAGTTTCAACGCACTTTGGGGAAGAAACCCCTGAGATTGGTGAGGCAGGAGTTGGTACATTCCAACGACTCTCTGCCTAACTGCCTTGTTCTGACTGAGCAAGCTGCCTGGATGGGCAGTGAAACATCTCTCAAACTAACAACAAAGTTTAGTCCAGTTGCGATGTGTGAACCTTTAGACAACAACAACAACAATAATAATGTTGGAAGGGACCTTGGAGGTCTTCTAGTCCAACCCCCTGCTCAGGCAGGAAACCCTATACCATTTCGGACAAATGGCTGTCCAGTCTCTTCTTAAAAACTTCCAGTGTTGGAGCATTCACCACTTCTGGAGGCAGGTTGTTCCACTGGTTAATTGTTCTCACTGTCAGGAAGTTTCTCCTTAGTTCTAGGTTGCTTCTCTCCTTGATCAGTTTCCATCCGTTGCTTCTTGTTCTGCCTTCAGGCGCCTTGGAGAATAGCTTCCCTCCCTCTTCTTTGTGGCAGCCCCTGAGGTATTGGAACACTGCTATCATGTCACCCCTAGTTGTTCTTTTCATTAAACTAGACATACCCAATTCCAGCAATTGTTTTTTATATGTTTTAGCCTCCAGTCCCCTGATCATCTTTGTTGCTTTTCTCTGTACTCTTTCTAGAGTCTCAACATCTTTTTTTTTTTACAAAATTGGATGCAGTATTCCAAGTGTGGCCTTGCCAAGGCATTATAAAATGGTATTAATTATTTCACATGATCTTGATTATATCCCTCTGTTAATGTAGCCTAGCGCTGTGTTGGCTTTTTAGGCAGCTGCAGCACACTGCTGCCTCATATTTAAGTGATTGTCCACTAGAACTCCGAGATCCCTCTCACAGTTATTACTGTTGAGCCAGGTAGCACTTATACTGTACCTGTGCATTTGTTTTTTCTTGCCTAAATGTAAAACCTTACTTTTTTCACCATTGAATTTCATTTTGTTAGATAGCACCCAATGTTCAAGACTGTCAAGATCCTTCTGTATCTCAAGCCTATCTTCTGGAGTGTTGGCTATTCCTGCCAATCTTCAGACAACTCTACCTGGATGATTGAGAATTTGCATCGACCTTTTGGGTGGAGTTTGTCATAACTTTGAATGGTTGCTAAGTGACTGGTTGTAAATTGAAGACTACCTGTATTTACCTAACTAATGTTGCATTTCTTTTTCAACACTGGCATGCCTGTTTTCTTTCTTTCTACACACACACACACACACACACACACAAACTAAAATAAAATATTATGTAGGCTGCTGCAAGAACAGCTGAATAAAATTCAGCCAAATAGTTTCAAACAGTGAACCATACGGAATTTCAATTTGCCAGCATTGACTCGGCAATTTAACAAAAAAGAGAGTTCCATTCAGTGCCAATGCTGACAGAAAGAAGTCTGTTTTGGTTGTCAATTAAATGGGAGGTAGTAAACACATGGTTGCCACATAGGCTTGAGGAGACCAGGATTAGGTCAGTTACAGAATAAATGATGCCAGAAAGATTCTAATATAAAACAGCCTTCTGCAAAAGGAAGGAAAAACAAATTGGCAGAAAAAAATCAGGATGAGATACACAATGAACTAGAATCAGAAGCAATCTAAGCCAGCAAGTGGTTTGGTATTTGAAATAATTAGCAATTTTATCAGACAAAAGGCCAAGCTGAACAAAAGTTTGCCTGAGCAGTAAATTAATGTAGTAAGCCAAACTTGGGATCAAGGTAAAAAGTTTTCTTTCACCAAAATGTGGTTTCTAAGCAGAAATCATGACAGTTCCCACTGCCTCTTGTCTGACTTTTGCAACACCTGTAAATTGAAAGAGAGGTAAACCGTTTATAATCTTCCTACTAAATAATTTGAACTAATGCTATACATATCTGTTCAAAAACATAAACTGTTATTTTGTTATAAACAATAGTCCATAGTTGTGGTCTAACACCTTTGATCAAACTGTATGCACTATTTGTGTCTAAATCATATTTAAATATACTGACCTTTTTTAATCTTTTGAGTACTTCAGGCATAGTTTCACAGCGTCCATAACACAGTTTCCATTTGTTGATTTATTTATTTGAAAAAACATCCCCTTAAGTGTAAAACACCCTTATCTATTTTTGATACATAATAATAATAATAATAATAATAATAATAATAATAATAATAATAATAATAATAGTAGTAGTAGTAGTAGTAGTAGTAGTAGTAGTAGTAGTAATAGTAGTAATAGTAGTAATAAAGTTGGAAAGGACCTTGGAGGTCATCGAGTCCAACCCCCTGCTCAGGCAGGAAACCCTACATCATTTCGGACAAATGGCTTCCAGTCTCTTAAAAACTTCCAGTGTTGGAGCATTATATGTCAAATATTACAGTAGGTTTATTGTTGTCAAGATTTTGATCTGTGCTTCATGATTCAAATCCATATGGAGACAATGCTTTTATTAGGTTAACTGAACATTTACAAAATAACTTATAGGCTTCATTAGACGAGATAGTTATGAAACAGGTCGAGGGGATAGAAGTTAGTAAGTAATATTGTTTGAAAACCTGAAAGTTTGCAATTGCAGAGTAACCATTTTACTAATAAAGAATTTGCCACAATATATAATTGGGTTTGTTTTTATGGTATTTTCTAAAATAAAATCTTGACTTCTTAAACTGCTCAAATGAAAATGAATACTGTTTATTACATTTAGGTCTATGCACTATAGGATTTTTTCCTACCATTTAAGCCAATTAATGTTATTCAAAATTATACTTTTCTTTCCTTCAGCTGGACTAGATATTGGGCCTATCTCTGACGATCCCTCCACTTCGCTGCCTCTACAGAATGTCAGCCAGAGTGCCCGGCCACTGAGTGAAGAACAGTTAGATGGGATTTTGAGTCCAGAACTGGATAAGATGGTCACAGATGGTAAATGGTTATATTTACAACAAGCCAGCTTGTTGTTGTTTTGACATATTACCACATATTTTGACGTCATGCTAGAAGTTCTTGAAATTAATGTGAATGCAGTGATTGGTGATTGGTAATATTCATTGCTTTTACTTTATGCAGGTGCAATTCTTGGTAAATTATATAAGATTCCAGGTAAGTGACCTATTTTTAATATCTTTCTGCAAAGTTTATTTCACACACATATTATATACATATGTGCATCCACACCTATATCTATCTGCTTCTGCTCTAATGCACCTTGTTGTATTTTATAGAACTGGGAGGAAAGGATGTGGAAGACTTGTTTACTGCTGTACTGAGTCCTGCAGCCACTCAGTCAGCTCCTTTGCCACAGCCTCCACCACCACAATTACTGCACTTGCACAATCAAGGTTTGCTTTTTATCAATTTAAAGTGTTTCACCCTAAACAAACAATATGGCAATTGAGAGCAGTTCAAGAATAGCCAGTGCCTTATACATGGTCATAAATGTAGTCTTCAACTTAAAATATTCATTTAACGACCATTTGAAGTTACAATGGTGCTGAAAAAAATGTCATGTGCCAGTAACCAAAACATCTCTGTGAATAGGCTCAAGCAGATACTTTATTGGTAACCACCCATATTACAAGAATCTTGCCAGACATGGGAAATAGCAGATTTAGACCTTAAAACCTGACCTCAGACATTTCCTTCCCTGAGGAAAGAATCGACTGCAGGTTGGAAGTTGTTTTTACTCCTTCTAAAAGGTCTCCCTCTCCTTCAGCCTGTAGGTTCACTACAAAAAATGACTGATGTCCACTCCTCACACTTGCAATGGTCACTGTGTCCTTGTAGTCATGTGATCAAATTTTGGGCATTTGGCATGACGAACCTGATGCTGTCTTGGCATCATGTGATCACCATTTGCAGCCTTACCAGCTGGCTTCATAAAAGCAAAGTCAATGGAGGAAGCCAAATTAATTTAACCACCACTTAATTACCATAGTGATTTGCTTAACGACCATAGCAAGAAAGGTTATAAAATTGGGCATAAGTCAATGAGTCTCTTGCTTAGCGACAGAGGTTCCCATCCCTATGGTGGTCTTAAATCAAGGGCAACCTATACAGGAAAAGTTTTTTTTTTTTAAGGATTTTTAATGTACTTTAACTGCTCACTATAATTTGTAAAAGTTCCTCTTTTGAGAGGGGATGTAAAGACCTTTAATTCATTTTTAATTCATTTGGTTTTTAATTACATTGTTGAGATTACGTGAAACCTGCATGCAAATCAATCTCACAAGAGTTCTTTTACATGTTCCCTTACCTATACAAATAGTGTTTTATTAAATATTATATTAGTTAACACAGGCCCTGAATATATATTTGTAAACTGTTCACAATAAAATTGAAACTGTGTATTTCAAGATCTGAAATGAGGAGGTGATAAGCCG